TCGTATCGTTATTTTATACAGGTATTCTCCATGATAACCTAGTTGTGCGCGCTATGACGTCATAAAGCCAGCCGATAAACGATACCGGCAGCGAGAATACGAACGGGCATAGCGACGCTCTGAATAAAACGAGATAATGCTCTCAATATGAAGCATCGACCGGAAAGTTGCAGCGCGCGTGTCGGTTCAGTCATAGAAACCGTTATAATTCCATGGGGGGAATGGTACTTTGTTGCACTCTTGTGAATCCTCTCAAATAATTTGTTTGAGAACCCTTTGCGTCTACGCGCGAGCAAAATCGCCATCGTTTTTTAAATTTAATTAGATTAATCTCGTTTCGCGAAGTGTTTCATCGAAAGTTCGCGCACGGCTGTAAAAATCGTGCGTTCGCATTTATATGCTGCCCTAAATCTTTAAAAGAGATAGAGAGGGAAAGATGTATGTGCGGTTGTAAATTTCGAGTCGGGCTGCGATTCGGCGTTAAAATTGAACGATTTGCCCTCGAACGGAAAAAGCGCGTTGGAGATCAATAAGGATGATGTCGCGATATTTATTGGGGCAAAGTCCGCCCCAAACCGGATGATGCACCAATTCACCGGATATATTGAAAAATCGAACGCGCGCGGAGGCATGGATGTTAATTGCGTATATGTGCGTATAAAAAAAAATATGACCGACTAAAGAGGATCGATACTTGAAGGTGAGACTTTGTAGTTGGATACTATATATATATAGTTTTTTTTTTTTTTTTAATTTATATCGGCATATAAATTTATAAATCGACGCCACAAAATGCTTCTCTGCCATTTTCTTTTGCCTTTCGACTTGTTATATCTGGATTTTCGCGTCAGAACACCCTCCCAGCGATTCATCTTCTTCCTAGCTTTATAAGCGGCAATTTTGACCGCGGATGGTAGGTATATGTGCGGTTTCTCTCATCCGACAAAGTGACGAGATATACATATTTCAAAAATAATTGGTCAGTCTGTTCAATTTGGCTTGTTCTGCGCTATAAGGATTTGTCGTATATATTTATAAATTGTAACGTTCACGTTACATAATTATATTATTTATCTATAAAATTAAATTAATTTACAAAATATAATTAATTTACAAAATTAAATGTATTTGGATAAATGAGCGAAACAAAAATGGTTAGGCATTAATTCGAACGACTAAATCGTATTAACTTCTAATTTGAAATTGTGACTATCGTGAATAGTATTATTAAAATAATATCTTGAAAATAAATTTAATCCTTTTATAATTTAAAGATATAATTAAATAAATTTCAACTTTGACTAGTTGTTGCTTTCAATGAATATGGCAACAACATCATTTGTCGCTGACAATAATATGGCGACAATGATAATTCAGTTGAAATTAAATTTTTAAATATGCTTAAAAAGAGTGGCCGACGTACACAAATTAATAGGATTACATTTCAAATTAAACAAGCATTAATTTTAATGACCAAGATCCTCTTTTTTCTCTACATCAAACTCCATATAATCTTAAATCCAAACAAAATTCTGAAAAATATAAATTATAAATTAATCCCAATTGATTTTGAAATAAATTATGCAAAATATAAAATCATAAATAAAACCGAACCTCGGCGGAAAATCAAAATTCGAGAATTATTTAGACTGGGATGAATCTTTTAATTAATTAAACGAGGTCTAACCCCGGATTAAATTTTTTAATGATTTAACCCCAAACCGGATCAAATAACTTTAATTATTAAAACGTGGCAAAATATATAAAATGTGAATGATAAATTCGAATTGTCATCGAAATGGCTATGAAATCTGTAGATCTATTTGAAATGCGCACAATGTATTATATACGATATACATAAGTATATTTTTGATATATAAACTTTTTTTATTCCGCTGGCGAATTACTGATATCTCCACATCTGTCAATTCAAATAAATGCATATTGTGTGAAATTATCACGTTCGACTTTGACGAAACGTTAATTCGTGAAGAGTGGCGATATTGATTTGTTTAATAACTTTACACACACATATATATATAGCCTCACCATGCGTTGCAACCGATGACGCGTTGATTAAAACTGTTGCGTAATTATTTTGCTATCTGGTGTTTGGTGTTCACGCTCCACGGAAGACGCGTGACGAATTTAATATCATACGTTCGTGTACACGCATACAATAAAATCGCCGTCAATCCTCGTCATCTTTCACAGCGTTCACAGCCTGGAATACAATTTCAATTCCAATGAGCGAACGGAAAATTAATTTACATGTATAATCAAGTAATGCTGAAATGATACAGTGATGACATGTGGAAAATAAATGCATTATAAATGCTTAATAATAAACTTGAGGGTGCGCGATGTCCTTTTAAAGTCAATCGTCAACTTAACTTAATTGCAGATAAACTACCAAGAACAAAAATTTGTTGTAAATTATTTTAATAATATAATAACAGTATTTGATATTATTAAGCAGTAATAGTGAATAATGCGTAACATAAATTGCTAAATATAATTAATATTAAATTACTAAAGAGAGGACAAATAGCAACTTCATATCAAATTATAAAGTATAAAACATCTTTTTATAACGAGCAATTAAAATAATTTAATGAATGAACTGTAGCTCGAGAGATTGATGACATTGTTTGGATGGCATCAGTGTGTGTATTCATTAAGGGCCCCTTTTAATTAATATCTATTAATTGTTCGATTTTGTACTCTACAATTCCCAGTTATCAATAAAATGTTTTTGCAATTGCATAGGATTGCCCGCGCTTAATCTTCGGTGAAGTGCGAGCATTGCTTCTAATTGTCGGAAGCGTTAACACCAATCCATTTCGATCTACAAGCACGTACATCGCAAGCATGAGAGAAGGGCAAATGTCGAAGTATCGGCTATCGGCCATTAAGTGACACTTAATGCCTTCGAGAATGTCGCAACATCGTAAAGGTGTTTAACTTTTCTTGTGATCGCTAACGATTAGTCTGTCTCATCGTCGCGCTTTGTCTTGAAATAGTTCTGTAAACAATTATCTGTTTCTCTTTTTTAATCAAATTAAACGATTAAAATAAGTCATTAAAGAAAAAGAACAAGACAAGTCGGAAAACAAAATTGTCGCAAACTATAGCTGATAATTGTTGTTTGATCAACACTCTAATCACATTTCGCAGCTATCATCGTCGAATTTACGCACGATATGATCGTCTCGATCATGTTTATTATTCATTGGACTGATTATTGTGTTTTGCATTATTTTACCATTCATAATAGAGATTCGTGGGAAATTTTAGCAGAATAATTATGTGCATCAAATGGAACTGATCTACATACAAAGCTGTAAAATAATTTATCATTGACAGCAAACATAGCAATGTGATTGACACGATAAGCATAGAAAACGATACGCGTTTAAATATTTTATCGCATCGAGAAGGTATAATAGGATTGAGATCTCGGGATAAAAAATCTGATAACGAAAGGTGGGAAAAGCGCGAGTATTTGCGAGAAGTAGTACGAGAAGATCCTTTGTCAATAAAGGGCGTCTGATGAAACGGCGATCCGTGGTTGCTGCCGCGAGTTGCTTTCAATCGAGTTTCGTTCCGCCTGAATCGTCGATTTGCATCCCGCGCCACTTCTGCTTCTTTGAACGCAAAGTTAATAAGCAGCACTTCGATTTTGCTTTGCCAATCCGAATATCTTCGCATTTTAAGAGAACAATACCGCCGATATTGAAATTAGGTTTTACCGTCACCATTTACACGTAATTTATGAGAAAATTTCTTCCGATAGTTTGCGGATCTCGACTGGCGAGAAACAAATTGCGATACATTTATACGGTCTCTATGGGAGAATAACAATTTTCCGTTGTTGATTAAATTTCCAAAGATCGTTAAAATAAGTGTCAGGGGACTTATAAATCAGGAAAACAAATTTCTGACGATTTTCTGTTAACGAGCGTATTTATGATTCAGTTGAAATAACTTTGAAAGTTATATCGGTGTGAATTGTTGCGAGATATCTGCAACCTAAATCATGATCATATTTTCAAGTAGACGCAGTTTACTGTGAATGATAAATATATCCCAGATCAAAACAACGCAAGCGTAACGCTTTTGCAAACTTTGCCTGATTTACAGAATATTTAACTAAAATTTTGAATCAAAATATATTTAATATTTATATTAATTTATACATAAAAAAATAAAAAAGATACGCTTATATATTTACAAGAAAACAAGTTACTATGTCAGATAAAATTAATTTTCTACTTGCGCGTAACGTTTATAACAATCGATTAAAAAAATTTAAGAGGACATTATTTGTTATCATTAATTTTTGATAAGAGAATGCAGTAAGTATATTATATAATTATATTTAACTAAAATTTTGAATCGATATATTAAATATTTACAGTAAGTTATATATTCCTAAAAGAATAAAGAAAGATACGCTTATACATTGTAACTAGTCGAACCATATATTTGCAGCCTATGTAAATGCTTAAATGTCCGGCCCAGAAAGAGGGAGAGAAAGAAAAGGAGAGGGAGCTAATTGCATTAGATCATTTTCGTTCTGCAAACGCAAACATCGAAGGCAAGCGCGAGGCGGGCGAGCCGGGCATGAAACGAGGGTTAATTCCATCCCCTTCGGCTTCGATTAAACGAATTGCGAGAGTCGGATGTTTCGAGTGCACGAGATCGATCTTTCCGCGTGTTAAAGGGCATAGCTCCCTTCGTACACCGCTTAATTCGGCAACAATGGCAAACAGCGCTATCTCGCTCCAACCCTCGAAAAGGCAGCATCCTCTTGACCCCAAAATGACCGTTTCTCATTCTATATCCACCCTCTCTCTCTCCCGTCACGTTCGGAACGAGAGGAAGAGAAAGAGCGAAACAAAGCGCGCGAGAGAGAGAGAGAGAGAGATTAACTTAATGTAACTATGTATATATATATATAATATATATATATATATATACACGTGCGCAACACATACCTATTCTTGCTTCCGCACATCGTCCGCCTTCATCACATCGTTGGGACTCCACGGACGCATCGCGAGATCGAGATCGCTAGATGCGTTCGAGTTCGTCGAGGAAAACGCGATAAACGGCACTACGGTTTCGTCACAGTATGACACTTTCGCGGCAAATCTACATATAATAATAATAATAATAATAATAATATGCAATGGCTAGACTCGCGGCGAAATTCCGTTTCGCGTTCGATTCGCGAAAGACGTCTTATCCACAAGCTGAGAGATTAAATCGGCAAAATCGCGATTTTTTTCCGGCGTATCGGCTCGTTCGTAAAGAATTGTCAGGGCCACCACGTGTCTCTCCCTCTCGTAGAGGTGCCGCCACGTCGTTACATCGTCCGTGAACAAAGCGGCGCGATGAAATGGTCGACTGTTCGTGCTCGTAACGTTTAATGAGCCGCGATTATGCACGCCCCGTATATACGATATATCGGACAGGCGAAAGCCGGAACTTGAGGCGTCAGATGCACCGGCAATCGAATTATCGCGATCAATTGTTTGCTTGCGGTTCGCTTAATGCCATGCACGTGCCAGCGGTCCTCCTATGATTTTCCCCCGATTTCGCTGCATATGACGCATATGACGATTAATGTTGCACCTTCGAGTTCGATCGCATCGAGATGGCAGAAATCGCTCCCTTCTTTCTTGTAAGACAAAAAATGAGAAACGTTTTTTTCTCTTTCGCAAAATTTTATATATATAAATGTTCAAGGTTTTTCTGTCTCCTCGCTCCTTTTTTTCCCCTTTTAACTTTCGAGTTATGCGATCCACTCGTGACGTTCGCGCGATGACGTCTGACCATACAGTCGACTTTACTACTGGGACGAGAATTTTTGCGGTCGGCTCGTAGGTATTCCGGGTGTTTGGCTCGCTTAATTAAATTCTCCGGCGAATATCGTGCGTACTTCCGTCTGTGGACACTCGACGGTATATACGTTATTGACTACGAACCCTTCTTCCGACCAGAGCCCACTTTCTAAGATGCCTCGTGAGACGCATAGTTTTATTATGCAACGTATCTCGATCGGGCAATCGCACAATTATGATCATCGCGCGATTCGCGAGGGACATTTTTTCTTACATAGGAAACGCACACAAATTCGATCTAGTCTAAAGTGACCTTGATTACGTATTTTTTTCTCGCTCTCGAATTTTTTCGTTCGCGCAAACGTCAGCGTAAAGGTGATAGCGCTTTAAGAATCATCGTCAGCCTCTCGGGTAAACGTAAGATTGACGTGCGTTTAACGATGACATTTGTTCGTGTTAATGTTTCGATTAAAGAGCCTCACGGATAAACTGTATCTGTCACCCTGGTATTTGCATTTACGTCATCATCGGGTCGAAATTCAGTTAGGTCGCACGTCGCGACCGACTACGTAACCATATTCGTCGTTGCATTCGCGAATTTGCATGCCAGACGGTCTCTTTTAATCGCTCTTGGTTCAGGATTTTAACGATAATCGCTCGACCAACAGCGTCGTTGATGTAGATATGACGAATCATACGTGAATCGCGTTTGTGCGATGACATTCGCGATGACAGGCAGCGAATATACTCTCACTGATATGGCGCACAAAATTTCTAGCATCCCTCAAGTTCACGGCTCGCCGTTCATCGTCATCACACTATATGCCAGACTCTTGGCCGAACGCCGATAATTCCACTAGGCTCGCACGAATTTTTCAAAAATTCATCACCATATACCCTACTCCGGTCGAGTATCCGCGTTATTTCGATCTCACGCGAATTATTGCGTCGAGAGACGCAAATTTCCAGAAAGTCCCACCAAGCTCTTTCGTCCGCTCTAACCGTCCGGATTCTTGGAGCAACTTCGTCCGGCCTTATCCGGCACTCCTGAACCGTCCACTTTAATAGAACCCGACGAAGTGTCCCGAACGTTGTTATCGTTGTTGCCGACGAGAGAACTCGGACATGCCGCGTTCACCACGTTGCTCCCGCACGCTCTCTCATCGTCATCATCATCGTCATCGTCGACGATCTCGTCACGATCAAGGCACGCTGGAAACGGCGTGTCTAGGTTCCCTATCACACGTCACCAAAGCACGTCGGAGAAGCACCGGGTGGCTCGCCCGGTTCGCGCGCGTGCGAGACGACGAGTCACGCTGGTGAAATTCCAGCCCGGAATATATAGGTTAAAACGTCGCCGCCGCAACGCGGACACTTGGGAAGCGTCGGACAGAGAGAAACAGTGGGGGAAGAGAGAGAGAGAGAGAGTGCTTCGCCGGTTTCTCCTCCTTCGTTGCCCGGGGAGCGGCTATGGCGGCGGCCTGGCTCTCACTGCTACTTCCCTCGACGCGGGGGTGACTCGCGGGGGTTGGTTAGGACGAGGGGCGAGGGGACGCGATTATCTCGCAGCATCCCCTAGCGCGCAGGACCAATCCGTACGGAACCGACGATGGTGGAGGGTGCGCGTGGGTTGGTGGGAGATAGCTGTACAGAAGAGAGAAAGAGAGAGAGAGTGAGTGAGTAAGAGAGGGAGAGACTCTCTAGGGGGTTGAAACGAGAAGAAAAAGGACAATGACGGAAGAGAACGGTTGGAGAGACAGAAATGGAAGGCGAAAAAGTGCGTGCGATGGAACGAGAGAGAGAGAGAATGTTGATGGGATAGAGACGGAAGTCTACGTCGGAACGAGAAGAAATGATTTCTTCTGGAGAGACCGAGATCGAGCGTAAACGGAAGAAGGAAAGTGTGCAGCGGCGGAAGACGGGTCGCTGGAAAAATGCGTCGATCAAACAGACGAGCGTGAAGAAAATCGACGCCACGAATCGGAAGAAAGAGTTTATCTTCCCGGAAGATGTAGCTTGTCGCGCGTGGATTCCGGATGATAGCACGCAGATGGAGAGAAGTTGGTGTATGTCGAGGTAAAGGCAAGGATGTTGATACTCGGGATCCCTAAACAGAAAACGATGACTTCGTGTATCAAACAGACTACACACGTCATGGAGTTTTAGAGATTCGAGGGAAAATATAAAGCAAATAAATACACAAGAGCGCGAGATGGAGTAAAGGGATGAACGAGTGGAAACGATGAAGTTCAAGTCGGCATTCGGCGGCAGAGAGAGAGAAGTTGTGCGACGACGTGAAAAAGCTTGACAGCCGGCTACTGTAAGAGGAATGCGACTAGATGGAAAAACTAAAAGAGTTGATGTAGTATGACACGATCGCACACATTCGAATATCAGGCATCGTTTTGGGGAAAAAATGGGGAGTGTCATCTTGTATTATTCATATGGCGTGTCCTACACGCGCGATATGGTTATCAATCAATCAAAAATACGGACACATGTGTGTTTTTCGCGACGATCTTCGGAATTAAAAAAGAAAAATTATTTTATTTTTTTTTTATTACACTACTATCATTTGATTTTATACATTTTTCACGGTTTTATTTTTTTCTCCTCTTTTTATAACTGAATAGAAGATGGAATTTTATCTTTGCATGCGGTGTGTTTTATATATTTTATGTATATAATATTACAGATACATTTAGAAACACACATTAATTAAATATGTGACATTATCAAGCCAAGACTCCACTTTTTGAATTAATTACATAAATGTATTCTTAGAAATAGACCTGGCTCTCTGCGATAGACTCGGAGCAAACGATGGATTAAGGGTGTAAAATATGCACGATCGTTTATCAGAAACCTTTACCTCGAAGAAGAAATGAGCAATATCACAGAGCCGTTGTCAAAGTAACTGCATTTCTCTCTCTCTCTCTCGTGACTGTTTATACCTGTATATAACCATACATCGCTTAAATATGCATTTATAATCGGGTTTAAGTGCTCTTAACAGTATACACGCTAATCTATACACGCAAAATATCGAACACACGAAGGGTCGTGTATATACATATATATATATATATATCTGAACCTACGTATAAGGATAGCGCCATCCTGTCGCGGACTCCTGCCGGGACGGATCAAGGATAGGGAAGGGATCGAGTCGTCCTCGATCAAGAGTATCCGTGGAAAAGCGCCGGCGATGATGCATCGTTGGCCAAGGGTTGTATCACTTGGATCGGTTTATAAAATATTCATGAGGAAAGTTTTATCGGTGGAATCGCGCGCGAGAGAAGCTGACTCGAGTATGAAAGTGTCGTTAGAAACGTTCACCTGTCTCCTTTTTTTCCTCCCTTTTACATTTCGTTTCCTCCTTCTTCCTTCCGCTCTGATGCCTTGTCAACGTAAAATTTCCGCGCGACTTTAAGATTGGTGTGTCACGCGGGTGTGTGTTTTATATTTAAATTTATTTATTAATATTCTTTTTTTTTTGTTTTAATCGAAATTGATTATTTTCTTTACAGAAATCTCAATTGTAAGAATATTAATTATAAATTAATTATTTTTAAATTACGCGAAGGATCAAAAAATTGTTTTCGAGATTATCACTTCAGAGTGACAAATAAATATGAAATTTTGTTTCGATAGAAATTTGTATAATTATTAAAATATTAAAATTTTCGGAAGATGCAGAGTCTAAACAAAAGAAACATTATTAGCTACCGAATTGCGATGTAATTCTTCGCGCGACGCTTGTTTAATAACAAAGTACGAGATGAAATAGAGTGAAATTAAAAGGAAATAAACGCAGCAGCGTTTGTATAGCCGGGCCCTTGTAAATTTATTTCGGAATACGAGATAAAAAGTGTGCGTGAAGCGTTTTCTTCTCTTTCTCTATCTAGCTCTCCGCGTGAAACGCAACTCTCGAGAAGACAATATTATTGTTAGCGCCGAGTGACGGTGGAAAACAATTATTTCCCAACACCCTCGCGAGTTTGCGAAACGGAAAACTCGCGTTCGCGTATATACATATATGCACAGATGCTCAGAGAGATACATACAATACAATACATCGATTGCATGCACAAAACGCGATGCAACGGGCGTAAAAAAACAATCGGTGAATTCAAGCCGACCGATTTTCAACTTATATACATATATCGTTTGCGTAAGGTGTCGTCGCACTTGCAACGCTACGTCTCTATATATGTATATATGTGTATGTACATACGCGATCGCATATGTAATTGCATTCTATCGAAGGCGTTGTTTACATACGACACGATGTAACCGCTCGCGATCGCCTGATGCTGCAACGAGCGAAGAATTCCGCAAACAAACGCAACGTTTTCTCATCTTTACACGAGGAACACGGACACTTAACTGCGTCCTCCTATCTTGGCGTGGGGTGATCCATCAAGCCCTATGGTAATTAACAAGCGACCGGCGAAGCTTGTCTCCGATTCGTCCGAGACGACTCCGGTCCGAGTTCGATCGATTAATCATACACCATTCCAATTATACCCTCGTGCTACGCGTGATATCGAGTGGATTCATTTTTCAACGGCATCAGGAGAACCGGTGCGGATCTATATATCGATCGCACTTCGCAATTAGGGACCACTCGCAAAGTACATAGAGACGACTGATGATGAGGGATGGGAAGAGCTCACGGACGGGTGCTTGGCTTTATGTGCACGTACGATCGTTTCTAACGTTCGATCTCTCTCTCTCTAGCTTTCTCCTTCACGTTGCTCGTTTTTCAGAACGTGAATCGAGACTGCGATGCGTTTTGCTACAAAGCGCGCTCCCCAGTTGCTGCTAAAGAATTATCATTTTATATTTATTTAAAATATGCAAAAGCAGCATTAAACTGTATTTTTATGCATAATGCATACGTGATTGCTGTTTACTTTAAATGTGCTTTAAAGTGTATTTTAATTTTTCTTATTTATTTTTATGACTTTCAATACACGCATAGATGGTCGACGTATAAAAGCGCACATATCTATGTAGGAATAATTTTTATCAATAGGACGTAATATCTGAATAATGTCGAGTTGTGGAGATACAATTCAACTAAATATTATTTTGTTATGGTCTCCAATAACTCGTCTAAGAGTCTTGACGTGTTGTCAAACCGACACTACGTTCGTTCTTGACATCTTAAAATTATAATTTTATTTTTATTTTTACAAATCACTTGATAAGGACTCGAAGAAGGGTCGTGAAACGTTGTGATTGAATAAATAATATTTGCCAGTACGGTCGAGAGAAGATTCTTACCTTTTCTATTATTTTGTTAATTGAACATATAAAAATATTTAAATTAAATATATTCAATCCAACAAAACGTATATAACAAAATAATGATGTAGTTGAAAGGTTTATAGTCAAGTTAACAAATATTTTTCAGAGTATAATAAAGTACATTAAAAGTGCAAAAAACTCAATCAAATAAAAATATAAAATTACGCGCAGCTAATGCACATTATCATATAATTTGATAAATCACTGATGAACGAGCATAGGTATACACACATGTTACATTTGTTATCGAGCAATTGGCTTTCCGAATAAAATATTGAATTTCTTGACTAATTAACATTTCACGTGTCTATTCCATAAAATATCGGTGATTTCTCGCCAAACAGTTTGCGTTAATCACTTAACAATTTTTGGCGATTTCCATCTTTATCTGAAATACGTTCTCCGGTCTCATTGTACGCTTCGCTCCGTTGTTTAGAAGCAAGGCTACGTGGAAAAGCTTCTTTCCCGGAGGCTATCCATTAGGGGGAGTTACAGGTAGTTAGAGGCAGTTCCTATTGTAACCGCCGCACATCAATAATTCCCGGCAAAGACTCCACGAGCAAGAGACAACCACCTCTCGGTGTTCTAAGAATACCCCGTTATCCCTCTTTCTAAAGAGACGCGTGCTCTTGATTAAAACCATCCTTCTCTGTTGTTTTTCTTCACCGGCATTGTAAACAGTACCTTAACAAACATCTTGTGTATCCTAGAAATATCGAGGGGATATCCTAGAAATATCGATGAGATTGATCTCGTGTCGTATCGCTCGAAAGGTTGATCGAGAGCAGCGCCCAAAAATAGGAAGAAAATGTACGTGTCGCAGTTGAATCGGAATTTAATTAATTCAAGTGACAAATCACTTTGTGCCTCTTTAAAACAAAAGCTTCTTCTTCTATCTCAATCTAAGAACATTTGTACTTCTCTTTTATCTCAAATCATTATTTTCATATCCTTATATTTATCTTATCTCGACATAAATTGCAGTGAAGTACAAATTTTTACAACTCTATAATTTATAATTAGCTTTAATATTTAGACAGATAAACATTTTTATATAAATTAAAAAATAAATCTATGCAGTTTAACTTTGGATCTCTATAAATTCGACAGTAATTATAGAGTAAAAAAATAAGAATTTTCTAAAAATTGAGGAAATTTGTTAGCA